AACACCCTCGTTTGCTGTCATTGCAGCTTAAGGGAGAGGGGGCAGCTGGGGGCCACTATAAACTTAGCCTAACTGTATGTTTTTAGAACCTCCAAGCTGCTAGTCCAAATGAGGCCATCTTGTCAATTAAAGTATTACTAAACCCAGGACCCTGCATTCACTATATCTGGTCTCCTACAGTACACAGAATATGGAAATACAATTGTTTTAGTAAATATAAACTGCTAAATACCGTTTCTCATCAGCAGTCATGTGATTTCTATCAGTGTCCAGCTGAGCATTGGTTAAAGCTTTTAGGAGGAGTTTTTATTCTGCTCTGACTGTCCTATGAGGCTGCATAACCCCTGACCCTCTGTCTGGACAGTGCTGATTGGCCCTGTGCTGATCACATGCAACCTCCCAAAGAAAAAAAAACTCTCTAGCAATACACGCTAAACTGAGCATGTGCAGAGGGACTCCTAAAGCTCTGTACTATCAGCAGATCTATTGGGGACAGTAGAAGAAGGGGAGGATCAGTGAAGTCAGGATCAAACATCCTTTTTACACACTGTTGATGATTAACCCCTTGGGTTCCACAGTGAGTATAACAAGTATGATTTACTGCATATACAGATTGATTTTACTGTTGTGGGTTTAGGAAAAATTTAAATCTGGTAGTTTTCAAACTTTTTTGCCATTCTCCCCCTTTGTAAGCAGTTGAAGTTTCATTACTCTCCACCCCATCCATACACATTACACATACAATAACATTTTTACTAAAATGTACCTAAGGGCAGCACAGTGGCTAAATGGTTAGCACTTCCGCCTGGCAGTACTGGGGTTGTTGGTTCGAATCCCAACCACGGCACCACCTGCCTGGAGTTTGCATGTTCTCCCTGTGCCTGCGTGGGTTTCCTCCCACATTCCAAAGACATGCTGGTAGGTTAATTGGCTTCTCTCTAAATTGTACACCCCTTGAGGGTTAGGGACTGATGTGAATGTACAATATATATGTAAAGCACTGCGTAAATTGACGGTACTATATAAGTACCTGAAATAAATAATAAACAGACACCTCATTAAGCAATACTCTGTCTAAGCAGACATTGAGTATTATATTTATAATACTACCATCATAAATTTGTGCTTGATAAATATACATAAAACTTGTATTGGTTTACATTTAAAGTATAACTAAAGGCAAAACTTTTTCAGTTTTGAATGGAGTGGAGATGGATTAGAACACTTGTCAGTTTGTATTGCTCTACCCCCGTTAGGGAGATTCACACTCTCTATTTGTCCTGTTTACCATTATTATCATTGAAACTGAAAGTAAAAGAAAATCCTACATTTTGGGTTGTCCCTAGAAATGTAATTGTAATGGGGGGGGGGGGGATCTTCCAATGGGGACACTAGTTCTGGTGAACTGGGGTCCCCAAGGAGTTTCCTTTAACTTGCAGGGATTTTCTCTCACTTCCTGTTTAGCAATGGGCCAGGAAGTGAAGAGAAATCTCCACAATGGGACAAAGATGGCAAAAAAAAAATCTGACAAGGATTATAACTCTCCATTACTCTATCCAAAATGAACAAAAGTAAAAAAAATATAAAACACACACATCCACACACTACAAATAAAGTAAAACTCACCTAGGTGACTGTAGGCGATATAGATGATTTTGGTTCAAAATCAGTTTAGCTGAAATCACTCCACTCATCCACAGTTTTTACTATGATCTTTGCTTGTAGAGATCACCAGAACCCTACAACAGATGCCAGGACTTCTACAGCCTAGGCCCCATGCAGTTTTGAGCCTAGAAATGACAAAAGATCCTTTACAGCTGTACACAACTAAGGGAAATTACTGACTTGGATTCATAAACTTTGCAGCAAACCATCAATTTCATTATACAGTAAAAATGTCATGTGGAATGTCAAGTGGAAAAAGTACCATATCTCTGAAAAGTGGAAATTCATCACCATTTGAATTTGCTATTTTACATAAATTGCGTCATGTAACACCTATTGGGATCCTTTTCATATATGCTCCATATCCCGTATCTCCCTCCTATCTCCATTTTCATTTCTTCAGCAGTTCTTTACAATTTAAGATTAGAGTGCTGTCATCTATACTTATCATTTCATATTATGTAGACAGGCTCACATGAATACATTCATAATCTTGTCAATGGGGAAGTAATGAAAACTTGCTGGTATTTACTGACTAAACTGCTGAAGGTGAATTTCACGGTTGATGTGTTTTTAAATCAAAGGTCACAAACCAAAGTATCATGGAAAATAAACAAATTTGTTTTTTAAAAAAACAGTCTTTATCTTTTTTTTAATAGAGGTCTCCATTTTGTTGAAAAAAAAAAATACAGATCCCCAAATTGACTTTGTTGTAAGGACCAGCGTTGAAGCTATGCAATGTGCTGGTTGTTATACAGTAGGGGTCTCCAAACGTTATATACAAAGGGCTAGTTTATTGTTCTTCAGACCTTAGGGGGGTTGGACTGTGGACATTGGGAGTAAAAAATATCCTGGCATCAGTAGGAGCAAACAATGCTCCATTTTTGGTGCTAATGAGAGGAACTGTGCCCTATTGTTGTGTCACTGGGGAACCGCGTACCATCCTTGGTGTCATTGGGAGGAATTGTGCCCCATCATTAGTGTTATTGGGCCCAATTGTTGGTGTCATTGGGCGAAACTGCCCCATCGTTGGTGTCATTGGGAGGCATTATGCCCCATTATTGGTGTCATTGGGAGGAATTGCACCCCTTCATTGGGAGGAATTGCGCCCCATCATTGGTGTCAGTTGGGGGGGGAATTATGTCCCATTGTTGGTGACAGCAGATGAAATAGTGCTCCAAAGGCCAGATAAAAGCAAGCAAAGGGCCACATCTGGCCCCCAGGTCACAGTTTGGAGACCAAAGGTATACAACACAGGCTTCTACTGTGCACAGCTGGCCTTAATAGTGGAGTTTAAAGCAAGGCCCCAGCTTCAAGCTCGCACCTTATTCCATGCCAAACCCTTTTGGGTCATTTTAGAAATGACCCTTACTGTTTTTTTAGCATTTCCACTGACACATTTTTGAACTTGCCCCCAAATCCGAACCATAGCCGACTTCAAGGGTAACCCCATGCAAAAACAGTTGGCAAAAAGTGTGCTGTCCCCATAATATCCATACCAGACCCTTATCTGAGCATGCAGTCTGGCAGGCCAGAAAAAAGGGACCGGGAGGGTTAGTTTGCATCCCCTTTACCTCCTGAACCATACTAGACCACATGCCCTGAACATGGTGAGGGTACATTGCCATAGGGGCCACCCTGGCAAAGAACCTTGTCCACAAAACCCTGGCTCGGTGGTTGAGGGGTTTGCAGGCATGGATGAATAATCATAATCTGTAAGCCACCTTTAAACATAGAGGTGCCCCTAGATACCAGCCACCCCCTATGTGAATGAGTAAAGGGTACATACCCCTACTCATTCACCAAAAAAATGTAAATACTAAATAAAGGCACACGCTTTTTGACAAGTCCTTTATTAAAAAATGATCAACCCCCAAAAATGTCCCACAGTGTAAATCCAAGGCCTAGTGACCCAACTACAGAATCAACCCACCAATAAACCAATAACTTGCCAGATCCTGTTTCCCCTTGCAGAAAGTAAACACAAGGGTGGGGTCTTCTGGCTGACATCATTGAACAAATATGGATATGACCACATTTGATCAGTGACATCACTCGGCTTCTCACAGGGATTCCCAGAGAGTAGACAGAATCAGCAGCTCATCCCTACTCTCAAGTAAGAGATACGATAGTGAATGATAGGCAATAGGACACAATGCTACATACTGCAATGCTGCAGCATAAAGTAGCCTATAGTAGGTTTTTTTTCGTTTTTTGCAGTTTTTGAAGAACCATTAATTGGCAAACTGAGTTGGGGGTTCAGGGGTGCTATTCTTTTATATTATAAAGGAAGTTGCATCGTCATAGTCAGTAACAATGAACTGGCACATTTCACATGAAGAATAGACACCTCTATGATTGAAAATTATATCCTGGTCACAAAATAGATTCTCTAGTCTATCGCAAAATTATGTTTGTCTGCCACCGGGACCTGGAAGAGACCAGTGGCCAGGGGGGCGGACTGACCAATTGGAAGCTCGGGCACTGCCCGAGGGCCCGGGGTCAGTAGAGGGCCCCATGAGATGCCCCTGGTACCTTTTTCATAGGCTTTTTTGAGTTTGGGCAAGGACACAAGGGCCCCATGATCCCCTATTGCCCGGGGGCCCCATGAGTTGTCAGTTCGCCCCTGCCTGTGGCCCATCTACTCACACACTAGATCGGGCACACGATCTAAGATTTGGGACTTCATACCTGCGGCATCTTTAAGCATGCATGGGGAAAACCCTGCTCATGCCAAGTGTCTATGCCAGGTCCTGAGTGGCATATCTGCACACGTGGAATCTGGTGGCATGCATGTGCTGTCAAAGGCACCGGCAGCAAACATGATTCAGAAACACTAAAAAAAATGTGGGAGAGGAAGAGGAGAGGAGCTAGATGCAAATACCTTGTTTTATGGTGTCCATGACCGGTTTATTTAACCACTTACCCTCCTGAGGATTTACCCCCTTTCCTGACCGGACCATTTTTTGTATTTCGGCGCTACATTAATTTAACTGACAATTGTGTGGTCATGCAAGGCCGCACCCACGTGAAGTTTATGTCCTTTTTTTTAAACAAAAAGAGCTTTCTTTCGGTGGTATTTGATTGCCTGTGCATTTTTTATTTTTTGCTCTATAAAAAAAAAAACAATTCTGAGAAAAAAACAATATTTTTGACTTTTTGCTATTAAACATGTCCAGTGAAAAAATTTAAAAAATCTAATTTCGTCATAAATTTAGACCAAAATGTATTCTGCTCCATGTCTTTGCTAAAAAAAAAAATCCCAATACGTGTAAACTAATTGGTTTACATGAAAGTTTTACAAATGCATATATACTGGGTTTTTTTTTTTTCATTTTTACTAGTAATGGCGGCGAACAGCGACTTATAGCAAGACTGCGGGACTGTGGTGGACATTCTGACACTGGGGGGAACTGACTTGGTGTAACTGACATCCCCAGTGACACCAATACAGTGATCAGTGCTAATAAAAAGCACTGACACTACTAATGGCACTGGGCAGGAAGGGGTTAACATGTGGGGTGATCAAAGGGTTAACTGTGTGCTGTTTTTATTTGGGCTGTGTATGTGTTTCACTGTAAGCACACTGCTTTGCATAGCTGTGCTGTGCACAGCCATTCAAAGCAGTGTGCACGAGAGCTGACAGGGAGGAGAACTGTTTTGTTTACAAACAGTTCTCCTCCCCTGTCAGAGATCCTCGGCAATCACTGGGCACCGGCGAGTAATCACCAGCCGGGAACCGGTAATTGACTGTTGTGGCCGTGAACAGAAATGAAAAATCACGTATATATGTGATTTTGCGCACACCGTGCAGCCCTGTAACAGTATTTATGCTATAAGGCAGACAGGAAGCGGTTAAATATGAACTGCCATGATTACACCTTACCTGTACTGTGCAATTTTTTTGATTACATCTCTGCTAAACAAGTCAGGTCAGTGGATGTAAAACCTATTATATTATAATATTTTTAATATAGGATATGTGCACAAGTAAACCCCTTGTGGCATGGCATCTTGTCCATATTACTTTCTGAAAACTGTACATTTTATGGTTCTAAATTAATGCAAATCCAGCCTCAGACATTGGAGAACAGGTTGATTTGAAGCGGTGATCCCAGGGTAGTCAGGCTTGTCCACCAGCCAGCAGCTCCATAAACATGCACGCTGTGTTAGAATGACAAGTTCATTCATGCCTAGAGATTAAAGTGTTACTAAACCCACAACAGTAAAATCAGTCTGTATATGCAGCAAAGCATGCTTGTTATACTCACTGTGGAACCTAAGGGGTTAATCCTCTGCATTGTGTAAAAAGGCTGTTTGATCCTTTCTTCCCTGCCCCTCCTCTTGTTGAAATGACCACCTGATACAGACTAAACCCCTGGCCACATGCGCATGCTCAGTTTGGTGTGTATTGCTAGAGAGGTTTTTTTTTTTTTTTTTTGTCTTGAGAGGGTGTATGTGATCAGCACAGGACCAATCAGCACTGTCCAGACAGAGGGTCAGAGGTTTCACATCCTCCTAGAGCAGAAAGAAAACCCTGGCCAATCAGTGATCACATGATTGGGACCTCACACAGAGGTCCTGTACAGTGATCAGACACAGCTTTATTGCTAAAGTGCGCCCCACTGTGCTGGATCACATATATATAAGTGATCCAGCATTTCCGGGCAGGGGCACGCGCCACCCTGACTGTGCTGTCATTCGCTACAGCACAAGCCGATCAGCGAGTCTCAGCCAATGATTTATGGCTGGGACCCTCTGATTGGCTGCGCAAATGACAAAAAAAGAGAGCCCTGTGTTGGTAAACAACACAGGGCTCTCTACAGACAGCAGTGATATTGTTGTTTTTTTAAAAACAGTCACATCACTCAGTAAAGGCAGCACACATTACACACAGTAAACATTGTTAGGCACACAGTTAACTCTTTGATTGCTCCCTAGATGTTAACCCCTTCCCAGTCAATGTCATTGACAGTGACTGTGGATATTATTAGCACTGATCACTGTGTAAGTGTCACTGGAGATGTCAGTGCCATTTAGGCTCCAAACGCTCTAAACACTAATAAAGCTCAAGCTTTATTTTTTCCATGTACTGTAAAAACACTAATAAAATGCTAATGCTCCTAAACGCTTCTAAACACTACTACAAAGCTACTACAAGTTGGCAAAAACACTTCTAAATGCTACTAAAACATTACTACAAGCTGGCACAAAAAAGCTATTATCAGCTGTGTTTTTTTTAGAGTTTTTGGAGCTCTTAAAAGAAGCTAGTAAGCATGGAGCCTTAGTCATTTCCCACAAAGTGTTAGTTAGTGTCAGAATGCCCGCCGCACTATCACAGTCCCAGTATAAGTGGCTGATTGCCGCCATTAATAGTATAAAAAAATAGATAAACCCAAATTTTAGTATATTTATCATCGCTTGCAGACGCTACACCTTCCATGCAAACCAGTTAATATTGGTGCATATTGGGATTCTTTTTCCAAAGATATGCAGCAAAATATATTTTGGTCTAAATTTATGAAGAAATTTGATTTTTTTTTATTGGATATGTTCTATAGCAGAAAGTAAAAAATATTGGTATTTTTCAAAAATGTTGGTCTTTTATTGTTTATATATAATAAAATATTTTAAAAAAACCCATTGGTGATCAAATACCACCAAAGGAAAGCAATATTTGTGTGAAAAATATGATATAAATTTAATTTGGGTGCAGCGTCGAATTACTGCGCGATTGCCAGTTAAAGTATTGCAGTGTCGAATAGTAAACAGTGCCCTGCTCATGAAGGGGGAAAAAGCTTTTAGAGCTCAAGTGGTTTTTTTATAAAACAAGTTTTGCCTGAAGTTTAAAGTGCTTGTAATCGCAAACTGATATAAAAAAAGCCTATTGCTCCTTTTAATGCTAAAAAAACCTCTGAAAGTTACTTTTTTTCTATTTGAAACCAACAGTGTGTATATTGGAGAAGAATTTTGTTGGACAACTGCTCTGCAAAATCAGCAGATTATTTTATTTATACAGCAAACATTTATTTTTTTTCCCTTTGTGCTTCTGTGACTGTTTTAGGCATAGCACTGATGTTTGTTCTTTGGCTCACTTTGGCATTACATCCTTCCTCCTACATTTATTAAAATGGTAATTTATGTAAATTCTCCCAGAACAGTAGGGGGGAGGAAAGTTCTCTTCGCCTTTCTTTTTCCTTATTTTTAGGCATTCCAGTAATAATTACTCGTATTTTACTCTAGAAATATTTAACATTTTTTAAAATTCTAATCCAACTTTTATTCATCTGTTTATTTTTTTGTGTTTATCGTAACTGATACATTCATTATGAAAGTTGCTAGAAAGGCCTTCCGTTCCACATTTCAAGAGGAAATGTTCTACTAATGAGACTGTGCTATGCAAGGGGATACAAAACAGAACAATTAATGTTCTACACTAACCAATTAAAGTTTATAGAATATACATAAGTAATTACATAACAGTTTACTTGTTAAAAAGAATGTCAAATAAATGATTCATTGTAAAGGCAGTATCCACCTGATGATAACCCCTGGCATTTTTGCACAGCAGTATGTGGTACAATGGTCATTTTCAGACACGTGCACACTTTCTTTGCATTCTTTGCATTCTTTGCATTAAGGTAAAAAATGTTTAGGCATCAGTGTGCCCCCTCACCCTCATTTTACATACCTGAGCACTCATTCAGTCCAGTGCTTTGCATGTCTGCAGCTCTTCTGTCCCTTTAGTTCCAGGTCTCGCAGGCACTGGGAGTCATTGGAGCCTGCTGCTGTCAATCAAAGCCAGTGACAAGGAATCGGGGAGCAGGGCCGAGTCCTGCTGGCTGTATCAATGGACACAGACAGCAGAGCTCAGGAGCGAACACACACAAGTGCCCCCATAGGAAGCTGCCAGGAAGAGCCAGGAGTGCTGACGGGGGACAGAGATGAGGAAGTTTGGGGCCGACCTGTGCAATTCCATTGATTTTTATGTGCATGGTTATGGGGGTGTGGTGGTTTTTAAGGGGTTAACTTACATGCATTGGGCACAGTAGGGTAGGTACATATGTTCTGAAAATGGCTACTGAGGGTTAACACACACTGGGCATGCGCTGTTGACTGGCCACTGAGGGGTAAATGCACATGCTCTGGGTACAAGTAGCTGAGGGACTGCACATAAGTAGAATAAGTGCTGAGAGGTTAAATCACATACAATGGTACAATGCTGAGGGGTTAATTTACTGCCTGGGGACTGAGGAGATAACGCATGTGGGCTGAGGAATGGACACTGAAGTTGCTTGGGACAGGACACTGAAGGATTTACAAACGTGAACAGGGAACTGAGCATTAAGGGGTTCAGGCTTATATACTGGGACAAGATACCAAGGGGTTAATGCAAAGACTGAATATTTTTCAGGGGTTGATGCACCTACGCTTGAACCAGACCACCCACACTGCAGAAAGGTCACTGAGGGTTTATGAACATGTCTATAACATGAGGATAGCTGACTAAGGGGTTAATAGTAAATCTGTGGCGGCTGTTACTACAAATATTAAGCAGAGAGAAACTTACTTTTGCAAGGTAAGAGGGGGTATAGGGTGCCAGTGAACTAAGCATCACTGTTCTAAACCTCCAGACTGTGTGTCTGGCCTCAGTGGGCAATGTCTATGCTGAGAACATGGATGCTGTTCTATACAGTATATAGTTTGTGTGGTCGGCTTACGTGACTTCAAACTGAGGAGTCTCTGGAAAGGGTGTGCTGGAGAAGGGTTAAAGGGGAAAGACCAATGTGTGTGCTGGAGAGGGATACAGGGGAAAGACCAATGTGTGTGTGCTGGAGGAGGGATACAGGGGAAAGGACCAATGTGTGTGTGCTGGAGGAAAGATACAGGGCAAAGACCAATGTGTGTGTGCTGGAGGAAAGATACAGGGGAAAGACCAATGTGTGTGTGCTGGAGGAGGGATACAGGGGAAAGACCAATGTGTGTGCTGGAGGAGGGATACTGGGGAAAGACCAATGTGTGTGCTGGAGAAGGGATACAGGGGAAAGACCAATGTTTGTGTGCTGGAAGAGGGATACAGGGGAAAGACCAATGTGTGTGCTGGAGGAGGGATACAGGCGAAAGACCAATGTGTGTACTTGAGGAAGGATACAAGGAAAAGACTGATGTGTGTGCTGGAGGACGGATACAGGGGAAAGACCAATGTGTGTGTGCTGGAGGAGGGATACAGGGGAAAGACCAATGTGTGTGCTGGAGGAGGCATACAGGGGAAAGACCAATGTGTGTGTGCTGGAGGAGGGATACATGGGAAAGACCAGTGTGTGTGCGCTGGAGGGGGGACACGGGAAAGACCAATGGGTGTGTGCTGGAGGAAAGATACAGGGGAAAGACCAATGTGTGTGCTGGAGGAGGGATACAGGAGAAAGACCAATGTGTGTGTGCTGGAGGAGGGATACAGGAGAAAGACCAATGTGTGTGCTGGAGGAGGGATACAGGGGAAAGACCAATGTGTGTGTGCTGGA